TCGGCCAATGGCAGGTGGTTGCGAATGGCTAAGCGGGCAGCAGCGTCGCGAGTAAGCCACTGTGAGTGGGCCGCATTGTCAGCTGTGGCGGGAGGGGCGGGCGCGGCGTCAGACGTGTGGTCAAACAACGAAACGCTGTCCCTAGAGTCGCTCAGTAGGTACAGCTGCAGGTCATTGAGCCACGTGTCAAACTGTAGGGGGCGTCCCTCATGATCGAACGCTAGCACGCAGAGAGAGGCCATAGTGGCGCAGCACGCAAAGCGAGGAGAAGCAAAGCAGCGCAGAGCACAGGGCAGGCAGCAACAAAGGGGCAGTGAGAGGGCCGCAAGGGGCGACTAGCAGAGTAGCAGGGGCGGTGAGTGGGCCACCAGGGGCGGCGCGCGGGGCTGCAAGGGCGGCTCGCGCGCTGCAGGGTCAAGGGGCAGGCCGGAAGGGGTGGCTCGCAGGGCTTGGGGTTGACTGGCGCGGGCCTAGGGGCGACAGGCGCGGGCCTAGGGGCGACGGGCGACGGGCCGGGGCATAGGAGCATCGGTCGCGGACGTAGGGGCGTCGGGCGACAGGCCGGGGCGCCTGGCCTAGGGGCGACGGGCCTACGGGCCGGGCTAGGGGCGACGGGCTGGCCTAGGGGCGACGGGCCTAAGGGCGACGTGCTAGGGCGACGGGCCTAGGGGCGACGGGCCTACGGGCCGGGCTAGGGGCGTCTGGCCGGCCTAGGGCGACGGGCCTAGGGTCGACGGGGCACCCGGGCTGAGGGTTGACGGGGCGGGTCGCGGGGGCAGGGTCGACGGGGCGCGCGGGCCTAGGGTCGTCGGGGCGCGCGCGGGCCTAGGGCGACGGGGCGCGCGCGGGCCTAGTGTCGACGGGGCGCGCGGGCCGAGGGTCGACGGGGCCGGGGCGACGGGCCTAAGGGGCGACGGGCCGGGGTAGGGGTGACGGGCCTACGGGCCGGGCTAGGGGCGACGGGCCGGCATAGGGGCGATATGCCTAGGGGCGACGGGCCGGGGCGACGGGCCTAGGGGCGACGGGCCTAAGGGGCGACGGGCCAGGGTAGGGGCGACGGGCCTACGGGCCGGGCTAGGGGCGACGGGCCGGCCTAGGGGCGACGTGCCTAGGGGCGACGGGCCGGGGCGACGGGCCTAGGGGCGACGGGCCTAGGGGCGACGGGCCTAGGGGCGACGGGCCGGGCTAGGGGCGACGGGCCTCCGGGCCGGGCTAGGGGCGACGGGCCGGCCTAGGGGCGACGGGCCTCGGAGCGCCGGGGCGGGGCGACGGGCCGAGGGGCGACGGGCCGGGCTAGGGGCGACGGGCCTAGGGGCGACGGGCCGGGGCGACGGGCCTAGGGGCGATGGGCCGGCCTAGGGGCGGCTAGTGGGGCAGCACAGTGGTGGGCCCAAGGAAAAAAAAACGGTCCGAGCGAAGGACTTGCTCTGAAACCATGTCAGAAGAATGAACGAGAATGAATGAACTATGAAAGATTTGGGTACAAGTACTAACCCCAATTGGGTTGTACCCCTTATGGGCTACCCCACTACAGCCTACACAAATGTAAGCACTATAACATTATGACAAGCCATTGAATTGCCCCGGTCTTTTTTTTCCGCTGTGCGCCAGGCGTAAAAGCGCTGGTTGTCTCACTATTCGTAACGTCGTCGACGTGTCCTTCAGTGTTAGAGGTTGCATCTAGTTGCAAAGTTGAGAACTGTGGAAACGCGAAGTCTCTTCATTCGTCCGCGCTTTCCTGTTCCTTCCTACTAACGTTGTTTTTTGCTTGCAGAGAGCGACTATCACGATTGGCGCATTGCGCTCGACTGGCCAATCGCTCGCGGCCTCACACGGCAAGCGAGGCACTTCCGCGACAGCATGGGGAACTTTCGCCGCCGCCATGTGCGGAACTTGTGAGGTGTGGCGGCGCTGGTTGTCACGAAGTTGCATTCACGAGCCATGAGTGTTTCTTTCTTGTGTCCCCTCCTTCCCTCGTTCCTTCTCTGTTCTCTGTTCTCTGTTTTTTCTTCTAATTTTTGTATGTCCCCCTTCACCCCTACTTTTGTTTGCAGATTGCACTGGCCTGGTGTCGCCGGCCAAATGCACCTCGCGCGCGCGCGCTTGCGATTGCTCGCTACAGCGCATTCGACGAGATGCTTCAACAGCGGCAGTCGCGGGTTGCAGCCGACGAGCTGGGGATGTTGCAGTCCGTTCGGGTGGTGCCGGGTGCGATGGGGTTCAGCTTGCGCTGGTTCAACCCGAGGTGACCTGGGGGCTAGCGCGAAGGCATGAGAATGAGGCGGCACCCCAGGCATTTGATGCCGTTGGAAGAATGTGCAGTGAAGCTGCGAAAACGTTGACTTTTTGGGGGGCAGGCAAAAAAATCGCGTCAAGCCTGTCGATGCCGTCCGAACCAGAACGGCATGGCATAGGCTGCAGAACATGCCTTCTGTTGACGACAACAAAAGGGTTCGAAGACTCCCCGCGTTTTCCTTCACAAGCAAATTGTCATGCCAGTGCCACCCCATCGCCAACCTCCCAAGAGAGGCGAATGGCCACGGGATGGCAGAGGGATTGGCCAGTTGGGAAAACCCCAATCACACCCTGCAGAAGGGAAAACAACAACTGAAGGCACCCTTGCTGTAACACGAGCCTATGAGCCGCGACTCTGGTCTTACTAGGAACATGCTTAACTGTCAACGGGAGTTGGGTGTGGCCCCGTCCTCGCTTGGGCGGTGCCGACCTTGTGGTCGGGTGTACGGGGGAGTGCAGCCGACCTGCAGCAGTGGGCGAGCTGGTCGACGAGGGTGGTCGACCTGCGCGGGGGCCACTGCATTGGTGCCGACTTCTTGGTGCCGACTTTGGGGTGGTCGACTTGGTGGTCCACGGAGGAGGGGCCGACGTCGACCTCGACAGGGGGGACGTCGAGCAGCATGTCGCCGGGTTGAAAGGCGCCGACTTCGGACGTTGACTTGGCGACGCCGACCTGGGGAAGCCGACGTGGGTGGTCGGCTGACAGGTGTGCTGGCTGACCTGGAGTCGGCCGACCAGGAGTGAAATCGACCTGGTGTGGTCGATTGAAGGTGGTCGTCAACTAGAGAGGTCGACGGGCACAAGGAGAAGTTGGTCGATGAGATGGTTGCCCGATCGACCAAGTTACTTGGGCAACAAAGTTCTACGGAGGCACGCGTCAGTCGCCCAGGTGTTAGTGGCGAGGCCGACCTCGGTGTGGTATCCCGAGGTCGACGTGGCTGATCAGGTGCAGTCGTCAGCGCCAGGTTGATTTGGTGAATGCGCTGTGCATGTGACAAGGCACGGCACGCCAATCATCTGCGAGCATCCGCGGAGCAGGTGCGCTGCTATTCTGCGGATGCAACGTTGGCACGCCGTGGACTTGCAGTGTTGGCAAGCCGCAACTTTGTACTGCTGGAGCGCGGTCGACCAAGTCGTGCTGGAACGCGGTCGACCATGCTGCGCTGGCAGTCGACCTGCTTGCATGCTAGCTCTGATGTAGTCTTGTCTTGCAAACTTGATTGTCTCATTGTTCTCAACTTTTGCTAGTGAAACTCTTGCGGTTTTGCCCTGTGAACGCACAAGTGCTAAAGAACAACTAAGTGAACGAACACATAGATCCCTCCTACCCCGTGCCTAGCCCGTACTCTAGCTCTCGTTGATAGAGTTATCTCCGCATGGTGCGGTGAGCGTGGAAGGCACACGACTTACCTTTCAGTCAGGTCGACGTAGTGGTCACTTACCTAATTTGTGTTCGTAGGCCGACAGCTGTGCGGTATTCACTATGGTAGGCGCCGTAGTTGACACGGGGGTGGTGGACACCCTGGAGGCACGGCTGGAGAACGCGAGGAGACGTCACGAGGCGAACGAGTATGGCGACCTGCCCTGGGCGGTCGTCGAGGCTAGCATCCGTGCCGTGTGGGCAACGGAGCACCCTCCTTGGCCTGTCTCTCCTCGACCGGTGAACACTGAGGGCGGCGTCGACGCGGGCATCAACGCCGGTGGTGGTCAAGTCGGCAGTAGTGCGGGAGGCACGTCAAGGCCTAATAGACCCTCGACCTGGCAGCGTGTCCTATGGTTGGGAACCCATCGACCTACGTGGCCTTGGTTGCTGATTGGTTTGCTTGCTATGGTGGTTTCACGGCGCGCGTTGCTCCAAAGGAACTAACACCCCTCCAGGCTTCCGCGCCGCGTCACTGCAGGTGTACCTCCTGTAGGGGGGGAAGAACCGAATGAGCCTCTCCATCTCTCCCCTTCCCCCGCTTCCTCCTGTTGCCTGTTGTCAGTGGAGGTCATGCTGAGTCAACCTCATTGCAACGTGTAGAATGTTTTCAAACCGAACATAACCGCGCGTGTTTGTAAGCGAGCTGCTCTCCACCTCTATAATCAAATGACATCGATTGGACTCTATGCAACATCAAATACCTTGTGGCATGAGTTGTCTCGCCTGCACAGCCGATCACCGTGACTTACGGCGTGTAAAACGGGCGAGCAAGGAATGGGGACGATAAGCAGGCGGCAGCCAGGTGGAACTAGCGTGTGCGCGCTGTCTCTTCCGTAACGAGAACGCTTTAGCGAGTTAGGGTTGCCGGCGTTTGACTGTCCTTAGTAGCGCAACACTCTGCTCGTATACCCATTACCTGCAGAGGTTCTCGGATCGCCTTGAGTCGTGACAACTCAATCTGTACTCCGTAACAGATTGACTTGAGCTCATTGCCGGTACAGTTCCTCCGCGCTTGTCGTGAGCGATCATTTGCAACTCGTAACGTATCATCTGGAAGCCGTGACAGATGGAACCACGCGAGGAGGAGCACCAGCCGTTGATTGCTCCCGGTTTCATTCGAGGAACGGCATCGACAGGTAGCAATCGCAGCGGGCCCTCCTGGGCCGTAGAATCATCGTCAGCTGTGGCCGTAGGATTGCCTACACCTCCCGCGTTTGAAGGACCAGGAACCGTTGGATTAGCACCAGTGACAGGGTCGGGAGCGACGGTATCCCCTGTCCAGATGGCACGTTCTCCGCAATCCACTTCAGCATCGAACTGGGCCTTTCATGCAGAAGCCACAGACAGGGACTGTCGAAGCCCGTCCGCCTCGCCATTTGCGGCTCCAATCGCGGCGCCTGTTGCGGCGTCTGCTGCGGCGCCGACCTCGGCGCCGGTTGCGGCGTACAGCAGGCACGAGGCATTCGCGTTTACCGTTGACATGCGCGGCGAGGGGGCGGCAGGCGTGGGGCCAGCAGGAGGGGGTGCTGTGGGGAGAGGCGCGGAGGTGGAGGAAAGGGGGAGCGCACCGTGGGCGATGGCGCGGGCAGTGGAGAGAGGGATGAGCGCTGATCCCGCTGATGGGCTCGAACAGGTGCGTGCAGCTTGCCTTTGAGCAGTGGGGAGAGGGACAGGTGTGGGGGAGCGACGAGCGTGGGGAGAGGGGCAAGCGGAGAGGGGGAGAGGTGGCGAGGGGAAGAGGGACAAGGTTAAATAAAACGTCGCTTTTTTTGAAAATTTCCCGTAAAAAACGGTAAAAAGGGTACCAGAAGGTGGTTTCGTTTGAAGAAGAAATCGGCCGATTTCTGGGACCAAATTGATGGCGAAAGGTACCAGGATGAAGAGGACGAACCCCTAGTTGCATGCGTGCGCTTGTGGGCATGATTGAAAATGTATTCGACCTTGTTTTTCCCTTTTTTTCTTGGTGACAACAGTTCTCAAACAAAAAACGCCGTTTTTTTTTGAAAATTACCGTAAAAAACGGACCGTTTTTTACGAAAACCGTATTTTTGAACCTTGAAGAGGGGTATAGGGGGATGGAGAGGGGAAGAGGGGGGGAGGGGTTGAGGGAAGGGGTACAGGGGGAGAGATTGAGGGAAACAGAATGGGAGTTGGAGACAGAGGGAGGCGGGTGAATAAAGAGGAACGGATGTTTGCTGTGGAACGAACTGAAGGACGATGCGTGGAGGTCCGCCCCGACATGGATTTCTATCCAAAGCTCGCCTACTTTACTTGCCCCTCGCCCCTCTTCCCCCACTTCTCCCATTCATTCATCTAACCCTAAGTCACACCCTTCTTGCTGAATCCCACCATCTCCCGCCTCGCCATCACCCACCTCGCCATCACCCGCCTCGCCATCACCCGCCTCGCCATCACCCGCCTCATAATCCGCTCCGCACGCTCGTGCCACCGTCTCTCCGCCTCACAGATTCCCCTCCGTCTCATCTCCTTCCGTTCCCCCTGTAAGCTGGCAGGCCCCCCTGCAACCACCACAACTCTCTCCTTCCCCCTCCCCTGCATCCCCCAACTCCCCTCACCTCCTCGCCCCCCCTCCGTCTCCCCCCCCCCCCCCCCCCTCTCCACCACCAGCCCCTGCATTCCCGACTGGCACCGCTTGAGTCCCCCGAGCTGAGGGCCATTCTGCACAAGTCCGCCTGCATGCTGCGATTCGAGTCCATCCGCCGCCGCAAAGGGTCTGGCTCGGACGACTCCCTCGCCTCGCAACAGCACCTGCTGCCGCCTGGGGCGGCAGGTAGCGTTGGGAGTGGCCGGCGCAGTTTGTCCCGTGCCGACAGTGGCGGGAGTGCGGGGAGCTTTGGCAGCGGGAGTAACAGCTTGAATGTCACGCCGGAGAGTAGCTTTCACCGGGGGGATATGTACAGCGGGAGTATGTTCGAGGTCAGTAGTCGAAGCTGCCTGGGATGCTTGGGTTGGAATGCTTGGGCTGGGACGCGCCCGCTTGCTGTAAATTTGTGCTGTTTGTTCCGCACTCCCCAGTGTCTGACCCTTTTCCCATCCCATCCCATCCCATCCCATCCCATCCCATCCCATCCCATCCCATCCCATCCCATCCCATCCCATCCCATCCACACCCCACCCCACCCCAACCCACCCCACCCCACCCATCCCGCCCCACACTACCCCACCCATCCCACCCACACCCCACCCCACCGCACTGCATCCCATCCCGCCCTCAGGCCATCTCAGAGGTGCCGCCATCAAGCGAGGCGGCAGGGGAGGGCGAGGGGGGCGAGGGCGGGCCAGATTCGGTGTATCTGTCAGACTGGGTGATCAGCCCACAGGCATCGCTGTACCAGCAGTTCCAGGCGGCGCTGCTGCTGCTCGCCATCCTCATCGGCATCGTTGAGCCCTTCAACGTCGCGTTCCTCGATACAGAGAATGTGTTCACGCCAGTCAATGTGTTTATCTATTGCACCGACGCCGTGAGTGCTTAATTCGGGGTTTAAGTGCGGGATGGGGTGGGCCGTGCCATGGAGTGGAGTCCTTATCATCAGGGCAGCAGAGTTATCCTGAGCCATCACTTCCCCTCTCCGCTTCTTGTGCACACTGATTCCCTCTTTTTCCGGCCTGATCACGCTCATTGCCTCGCCCTCTGTGTCTCTGCCTCTCATCGCCCCCTCCCCAACCTCTCCTCGCTCCATCCTCTCCTTGAGGTCCTGAGCAACGTGCTGCTCTTTGTTTTGATGGCACACACTCTCATTTCATGTGCTTCCCTTTGTGTCTCTGCCTCAGTTTTCCTCACCCCCCTTTGCCACCCAGCGCCCTCTCTCAGCCCACCTCGCCCCTCTTCGCCCCCCTCCTCACCCCCCCTCGACCTCCTTCCCGCCCCTTCGTCCTCCTCTTTGCCCCCCTTGCCCCTTCTCGCCCCTTGCCCCTTCTCGCCCCTTCTTGCCCAGCAGGTGTTTCTGAGCGACGTGCTGCTCAGCTTCTTTGTGCCCGAGTTCCGAATGGGCGAGTGGAAGACCAGCCTCGCCAGCATTGCCGTAGAGTAAGCATGTGTACTCTTTCTCATTTTCCTTAAAACGAGGGTCCACATTTGTCCCTCGTGGGTTAAAAAAAGAAGACTCTGAACCGAGTGCTGACGTCAGCACCATTTTTCGCCAGAGACCTTCCCCGTCGTTTTTGTCTCGCCCTACACAAACTCACTTTCCCGAGTGCTGACGTCAGCACTGTTGCAAGGACAAATGTAAACCCTCGTTTTGAGTTCCACTTACATTACACGTACGTGCTCCCACTGCTGAGTGTGACCATCCATATGTCGTCCTTATAATTACCCCTTTATTGTTCCTTACCCTTTTCCCCCCCTTCTCCTCTCATGCCTCTTCTCTTCCTCTCTCCCTCAGGTACCTACGGGGCATGTTCTGGTACGACATCCTAGCAGCGCTGCCATGGGATCTGGTGCTCAAGGGCGTGTATCAACCCACCGGCACCGCTGCTGTCGCCCTCTCCGCCTTCGGTCTGCTGCGACTACTGCGCCTCATCCGCCTGTGAGTGAGGGCCGCCTGTGAGGGCCACCTGCTTGTGAGGCCTGTGAGAGCCGCCTGCCTGTGAGGGCCACCTTCATGTGAGGGCCGTCTGCCTGTCAGGGAGGGCTGCCTCTGGTCGCGGTGCGCTTTGACGTCCTCTGTGATGCACCTCATCTCATCCCATCGCTCCCCTCTGCTCAACCCCATCCATCGCCCCTCTCTCTCCATGATTAACTTTCTGCCATCGCTCCCGCCTTCTCCGTGCCTTGCCTTGCAGGCAGAACTTCCTCCATGGCGGTTATGCGCTTTGACTTCCCCTCTCAATCCCCCTCTGCTGCTCAACCCGATCGTTTCCCCGCGTCCATGCCTCCCAGGTGGAACGTGGTGTGGGACATGGCGGTGCACGTGCGCTGTGAGGACTACATCCGTGGTTCACTGCATTCCGTACCCACGTGTGTGTGTGTGGCACATCCCCCTCCTCCCCCCCTTCCCAGCTGGAACGTGCTGTGGGACATGGCAGTGGACGTGCGGAAAATGCAGCGCCTTCGTCAGAAAGTCTGCCGGCTGCTCGGTGGTCGGGATGTTCTTCAGCACGAACTTCCCGCTCCTCACCATGTGCTGCAGCCAAGCATAGCGTCGCTCCATATGCTTGAGATTGCACGTCAGCCCCAAGCTCTCAACGACCGTAATTGCCGACTTGTTGTCCACACGGAGGACAGTTGGCTTCCCAGCGTCGAGCAGCTTGAATTTTGCAAGGAGGAAGCGAAGTCGACGCCCCTCCTTGCCGACGTCTGTGGCCGCGACATACTCCGACTCGGTCGAGGAGAGCGTCTCGCACACTGGCTCGACCAGAAGACCGCGGCCTCTCCGAAGACAAACACGTAGCCGCCTGTGCTCGTCCGGTTATGCTTGTCGCCCACGTCGTCGGCATCCACGTAGGCAATCAGCTCCAGCGACTCTGGTCCACCGCCGAACTCCAGGGCGGTGTCGCGGGTGTTAGCGAGGTAGGCGAGGCAGCGGTCGACCTCGCGCCAATGCTGGTCGCTCCTCACCATGAGGCCGCTCCCCAGCTTGCTGTAGGCGAACGCGATGTCCGGCCTCGTCGTTGTCGCTGCGAACAGTAGAGAACCAACCTTCTGCCGGTACTCCTCCTCGTGCTCCTGCGCCTCCTCGTCGTCGAATGTCAGCTCGGCTTAGGCGTTGACCAAGACCGGCATCTTCGTGTCAGAAAGAACTATGAAAGAGTTGGGTACAAGTACTAACCCTAATTGGGTTGTACCCCTTTTGGGCTACCCCACTACAGCCTACACAATGTAAGCTATATATAAGTTTGACACACCCCCATAGGCAAAGTGGGGGAGAACAAGCAAAGGGCCACAAGGCTAGTTCACATGCAGAGTTATATAAAAGAGAAGAAACAATAAAGTGATCATACCCTAGCAAGTGTAAGCATGCAAGTATATATAGAGATCATAGTACAAGCAAAGTCACGTAGTAAGCAAGTGAGGCAAAGTAGGCACAAGGCCTAACACAGTAGAGAAGCGCAGATGATCACCAGGCGGAAGTGCCTTGGTGAATATATCTGCAGTGTTGGCCCTAGTGGCCACGTACGCAAGACGAAACTGGCCACGCTGCTACAACTCTCGAGCAAGGAAGTATCGCAGAGCGATGTGCTTCGTTCTGTGCTCCAGTCTGTGCTCCTGACACAAGGCAATCACGGCCTTGTTGTCTATGTACAGAACTGGAGGCGAACGAGGTTGCTCTCCCAAGTCAGTCAGCAGGTAGGTGAGCCAGCGTAGCTCCTGTGCAGCCATGGCCCCAGCGTAGATCTCAGCCTCACAACTGGAGCTGAGAACCGAAGACGAGCGGGTAGACCGCCAGGAAACAGAGCCGGAACCGAGGCTGAAGGTGTAACCCAGTGACGACCGCTGCGTAGCTGAGTCGTCAACCCAAGAAGCGTCCGCGTGACCAGTGAGGACAACTGGACCCTGTCCTCCAAGCACGAGCCCCATGCCCGACGTACTGCACAGGTAACGCAGTACCCTCTTCGCAGCATCCCAGTGCACCTTTCGGTGCCTATCGTTCGAAGGTGGAGCTGATAGCGAGTGGCTGGTAGACAGAGGAGTGGGCTGTGGCGAGGAGAACTGGAAGCCGACGCGCTGAAGGACCTGGTGCACCATGTGTGACTGAGTCAGTGTGATGGTGCGCCGTGCTCTGTCCCGGGTGATCTGCAAGCCAAGATAGCTGCGCAGTTCACCCAGGTCAGTGCAGGTGTGTCTCTTCAGCAGCTCCGACTTCACGTGGGCGAGTGCCTCAATGTCAGCAGTGGCAAAGACGAGGTCGTCGTTGACACGAGGACGTAGAACGACGGCAGTGAGGTGTCGGTGCGTAGAAACAGCGACGGGTCAGCAGTAGAAGGAGCAAACCAAAGAGCCGCAAGTGTAGTCCTCGGTGTGTCGTGCCACTCACGAGGCGCTTGGCGGCGACCGTAGACTAGCCGGCGGAGGCTCCACTGGGTACCTGCAGGAAATGACCCAGTGAAGCCAGGTGGGCGGCGCAGCCAGATCTCCTCGTGCAGGCTGCCCTGCAGGAAAGCTGTGCTGAAGTCCAGAGAGTGCAACTCGTAGTCACGCTGAGCAGCAACGTGCAGCAACACCCAAAGAGTAGTCATCTTCGGGGTGGGGGAGAAGGTCTGGAAGTAGTCAACCCCCTGTCAAGGAGGTGCTCCTTGAGTAGGTCAACAGTGAGGGAGGTGGGGTCAAGTGAGAGAAAGTGGTCCCCGACAGAGCGAAGAGAGTCAGGGAGGCGAGTGACTATGAAGTAGAGGGTGATGAACATCGGGGGCTGGTTCCTGTCAAGGAACTCAGCACGGGTGGTAGCGCGGTAGCGAGCGTCGCTAGTGCGCAGGTGGGAAACCAAGTCCTCTACTGTGGCAAAAGCTGACAGCTCGGGGAACAGGAAAGGCAGTAGCAGTCGGCCTAGAGCAGCAGTGGCAGGTGAGGAGTAGCGAGCAACTACAGCGTCGTACAGGGCCTGTGCTGTCTTGTGCTGTCCGAAGTGAGCGCATTCGGCTGACGGTAGGTGGTTGCGAATGGCTAAGCGGGCAGCAGCGTCGCGAGCAAACCACTGTGAGCGAGTCGCACTGTCAGCTGTGGCTGGAGGGGTGGTAGCGGCACCTGACGCGAGGTCAAACAGCGAAACACTGTCCTTAGAATCGCTCAGTAGGTACAGCTGCTGGTCGTCGAGCCACGTGTCAAACTGAACCGGTCTGCCCTCATGATCGAACGCGAGAACTCGAAGCGAAGCCATAGTGGCGCAGCACACAGGAGCAGCAGTAGTAGCAGTAGCAGCACCAGTAGCAGCAGTAGCACAAGCAGCAGTAGTAGCAGCAGTAGCAGCTTTGGGCGAGGGGCTGGGAACGAAGGGGCCGAGGGGGGGGGGCGGGGGCCTAGGGGCGTCGGGCCGCGGGGCCAAGAACGAAGGGGCCAAGGGGCCTAGGGGCGTCGGGCCGCGGGGCCAGGAACGAAGGGGCCGAGGGGCCAAGGGGCCGAGGGCCTAGGGGCGACGGGCCGTGGGGCCAGGAACGAAGGGGCCGAGGGGCTGAGGGGCCGGGGGCCTAGGGGCGACGGGCCACGGGGCTAGGAACGAAGGGGGGGGCGAGGGGCCAAGGGGCCGGGGGCCTAGGGGCGTCGGGCCGCGGGGCCAGGAATGAAGGGGCGATGGGGCCGGGCCTAGGGGAGTGACGAGCGACGGGGCCGATGGGCCTAGGGGCGTTGTGCGACGGGCGATGGGCCGGAATCGGGGCCTAGGGGCGTCGGGCGCGAGCAATGGGGTGACGGGGCCGGACCTAGGGGAGTCGCGGGGTGTAGGGCCGTGCCTAGGGGAGCGACGGGCGATGAGGCCGACGGGGCCTAGGGGCGTTGCGCGACGGGCGACGTGGCCGAGCCTAGGGGAGCGACGGGCGCGAGCGACGGGCCGGGGGGCCGGAGCCTAAGGGCGACGGGCCTAGGGGCTACGCGCGACGGGCGACGGGGCCGGGGCCTAGGGGCGTCGGGCGCGAGCAACGGGCGACGGGGCCGGGGCCTAGGGGCGAGAGGAGGGCCACACGAGGGTGGCTAGCAGGGCAGCAGGTAGTGGGCAAAAAAAAAACGGTCCTAGTAAGGGACCTGCTCTGAAACCATGTCAGAAAGAATGAACGAGAATGAATGAACTATGAAAGAGTTGGGTACAAGTACTAACCCTAATTGGGTTGTACCCCTTATTGGCTACCCCACTACAGCCTACACAGTGTAAGCTATATATAAGTTTGACACTTCGCGATGCGCCCGGTCTGCTCCTCGTTAATGAAGCGCCTACGCAGCTTGTCGGTGTAGTTCTACTGTTGCAGCCAAAGCTTCCTCGCTGGCCTGTTGCGCACGATCTCTGGCCTGTTTCACAACGGGTGAGATCTCGCGCAGCTCAAAGGCGGCCTCCAGCAGCTCCTTCAGCATCGCAATGCTACTGCTGGCGGCGAGCAGGTCGTCGACGTAGACCAGCACCCAGCAGGTCACTCCGTCGTCGCTGTCCTTGAAGTAGAGCGCCGTGCCGACCTGGCTCTTCTTCCAGCCCACGCCCAGCAGCACACCGTCAAAAGCCCTGTATCACAGCAGCAGCGACTACTTCAGCCCGTAGAGGCTCTTCAGCAGCTTGCATACCCGGCCGGTCCCATCGTCAAAGTAGTCCGGTTGGTACATATACAGCACCCGGTCAAGCTTGCTCTCCACGAAGGCGTTCTTCATGTCGAGCTGCATCAGGTTGAGGTTGAGGACAGCGACAATGCTGAGGAAGATCCTCAGCGTGACGTAACTGCTCACCGGCGAGTACGTCTCGTCGTAATCAGCACTGTACACCTGCGTGACCGACGTGACCACCTTGTTGTCGGTTAGGTCGAGCACCTCCCAGCCCGTGCTCTCTGGCGACACAACCAGGTGAAGCCCCCAGCGAGCCTTCGGCGCCAACTTCCCACCGCGCTACTGCTCGGGGATC